TAAATCACTCGTACGCACAACTTAAGAACAAATCTGTGTGTACGAACGGTTCTTGCATGAGGCCCAATGTCTGTCCTAAACTTTGCGCTTGCTTCATATTTTTGGAGGACGTTAGTTTTAGCAAGTTTGTTGTTCGCTGTGCGGGTCGCGGCTTTTTTTCTTTTTATTTTTTTTCCTTGTGGGGAGGGGCGCTCAGTCAGAGCTCACCCCACGTGCTTGTAACCAGGTAACAGCAGGTACAGTGACTGGCAGCGGCCAAAATACCTCAGAAACTCGCCCAAATTAGCCAATTCCATGAGATTCCGCGCTTTACACAAAATTCCATTTTGTTTGGTCAATTCCGCGATTCCATCCATGTTTTCCGCATCGCAGAAATTACCAGGCCATGGATAGATAATCCCTGGAAAAACAAAAGTCCTGTGTCTGCTCCCGGTGGTCCCACTGCCATTTGTTCAAATCTACCGCTCTGAACAAAAACAGCAAATCAAAGCCCAGAGATTTGTCTCAGCTGCTCACAGCCCCACACCCCTGCCTGCAGCAGGCAGCCACACACTCTTTAAGCTCGTGAAGTCGCCGTGTTACAGGGAAACTGCCAATTTCTCGAGATGCGCCTGCTCTGAAAACAAAGACAGGTAAACAGTAGAGGACCCAGGACAAAATCCAAGTTGAAAAGAAAGACTTAGATTGAGCCGGAAAAAAAAAAATAAAATAAAACAAGGGTGGATTTTCACAGGAGGAGGAGGGAGCTCACGATGCAGAGTTAACCATTTCTGCTTGACAAGTAAGTATCTCTGTTTCATTCTTTTTATTTTTAATAACTACACAACAAAGTTAGCGATGGTTACAGTACCACAGTGATAGTGCAAATGCCATTTATTGTAGATTGTAGCTAAGACAGCCTAAAAGTTTGTTATTGCTGCGCTGCAGGGCTCTAATAGGCCAAGTTATGGTAAATGGTAATGTTAGCAGCTAACGCGTTCAACCTCACTATAAGTTACTGGTCCAATACCTACATTTAGTTATCCTGACTTCTGTTGTGGATCAGAATTAAAAACATGTAGAAATGGTGAAATTACAGTAACTGTGCTGCCTCTGTCTGAAATAAAAAGTAAATAAAATACAATGAGGCCTGATCAACATTAGCACTTAGCCTGTCAGCTGATTTGGTGTTTGCCCTGATATTAGTGAATGTGCTCATATTTGTATTTAGTATTATTCATGATTGGATTACATTAAAAAGTGTGTTAGTTCTTCAGAATATATGCTGTTGCTGATTACTTTTTGTGTAGAAATATAGAAGTTGTATTAATATTGTCTAGACACAACAGCTGTGGTCACTTACACATTGTAAAATGGTAAAAATAAATAAATAAATCCAGTAAAAATAATGGCTTTTTTTACCTATACCGGGTAATGTTTTATCACATTCTGTCTGAATGTCATCTTTCTTTAAAAGATAAAAACCTCAGCGTGACATGTTAGGAGTATATAACAGTTAAACGTGTAGCCTACTTATTGATAATCATCTGTATTTTGGAATATTAATAATCTCAAAATAGTACAGCAAATTATGTTTGTGTAGATGTAAAGTTCAATATTTAGCTTTTTGTTACCTTATCCAAAAAGCGTATACTTATTTTAATCTTTTTTCATCTTCTGTCTAATATCTCCAGATATCACAAACTCCATAATAAGTCCAGGAAGAGGAGTATATGTGCCATAAAGGAGGAGAAGGACTACCATTACCAGCCCATCGTGGACTCCCTTGACTTGCAACCATGAGACCAAAGGACCCACATCTGCTGTCACACCTCCCACCACACAGGAGCTGACACTAGTCACCAGGGGCCAGGGTAAGAAATAATGTTTGTGAAAGGTCACGTCAATCAGAGGAACACTCTTATGGAATGAACTACCTGCAAATATCAGAGACTGTGGCAGTTATTCCATTTTTAAAAAGAAACAAAGTTTGGCTGAAAGAAAATCAGTCATGCATTCACCTGTAACCTAATTTAACTGTAGACCTTGTAGACAGAGGAGTTTGTGTGATTGTTGGGCAGTGTTGAATTTTGTCTGTTTTGTGCACTTGTTTTATGAACTGTTACATTTTTATCTGTTCAGGACTATGGATTAAATTTAGCTCTTGTGCTAATTCTGGTGCATTTATATTCACCGAATATTGATTAATGTACATTGTCCTTTTTAAATAAATAAATGAAATAAAT